ATGTCTGCATCTTGTACAATGAATAACCACTAAGGCAACAATATGCAATGTATTAATTATTGAAACTGTGCTAGTAATCAGTTCTGAAACTGTCTCATTGCTATTTGTTTCTCAATAAAATTATTCTTTTTAAAAATGAGACTGGCTTTCTTTTCTAAGGACAAGGTCACCGCTCCACGTAAAACTGGTTCTACAGCCTTGACTCCTCTCAGACGCCAGCATCCACCCAGGCGGCTTGGCCACTATCAGTGCAGAGGAAGGGTCAGCACTGCGGCTGGCCAAAGACCGCCTTATGACTGCAGTTCGAATCATCTTGACTTCAAGGTCAAAGGCTCTTAGGGACCCTCTATGACCCCACCTTATGGAACAAGCTATTTTCCAAAGAATATCCTTTGAAAACCAGGACAGGATGATCTTCAAGGCCCCCAAATACATCTGGATAGAAGGCCTGCCAGCTACACACGGGCAGAGTCCTGAGATACCATGGGAAAATGGTCACCTGAGACACGCTGGGAAAATTCACTCTCAAAAACAACTATCAGAAATAAAACGCTGGTCCGGCCAGATTGCTCAGCAGACTAAAGCACCTGCTTATGCAGATACAGGAACCAGGATTTGATGCCCTGCATGTCATGCCGGCCCGCAGGCAATTGAGATTGGGCGTGGTGGCGTGCGCCTGTTATCCCAGCTCTTGGGAGGCTGAAAACAGGAGGATCACTACGAGTCGGATCTGTGTAGCGAGACCCTGTAGACCCTGTACTAGACATATTAAAATATATATGTATATAAATCAGAATTCTCCGTTTTCTTATTCTAGTTCGCCCAGAGATGCATCAAGAAATTCAAATGAAGAAGAAATCTACTTCCCAAAAGTTAACATACATAAGAAGCTGAAGGCTAAAAAAACCCACATTATTACTGACTTAATGCTAATTTTTTAAACAGTGCACTAACTTTGGTATCCACCCAGGGAAACTGAGTCTCCAAATTACCCAAGACACACATTACTATAGAAGCCATCTGTGCTATCGTCACACGAGGACTCTCTTAGGTCCTAATCACATTTGTCTGTATTGTAGTGGGCTGAAAACCCGCGGAGTCCCACGGGCAGAGCCCGCACGCGGTGCCCGGATGTTCGTCTGGCGCGCACAGAAGCCAAGAATGGAAGGGGTGTCAGGAACCTGCACAAACCCGCGCCCGCAGTCCTCCCAGGCCTGATGCCTGTCTACCGGGGGTGGGGGGGAATCTAGAAACGTCAGGTTGTTTCTAGGCATGCAGTAAAGGAGCCATCAACACAGGAATAACTTCGGGAGCTTGTCGGGGGCGGGGCTGGCTCTGGGCTCCACTCCCAACCTGCTCGTCCTAGAGGCAATCAGAGCACAGGAACCCTCCCGGAGACCCCTGCTAAGAGGCTTCCATGCGTGCGCACGCCGGGAAGCCTCGCCCCTTTCTGGGTTTGGAGCATAGAAATGACAGTTGCAATGTTTTCCTGGGTCAGAAGTACGTGTATTGCCGCGCAATTACAAATGCATGGAAGGAAGGGTGAAAAAGGTCTGAAAGTGCGCCAGGATGACAAGGATCATTACGTACCACAAAACAGGTGCCAGTACAAATGTGAAAAAACACATGGGAAATGCTTCTTTTTCTTTTCTTTTCTTTCTTTCTTTCTTTTTTTTTTTTTTTTTTTTTTTTTTTGTGCAGAGTCTCACTATGCAGTTCAAACTCATAGTGCTCCTCTTGTTTTCAGCCTCCCTAGTGGTGAAATGCCTCTTAAAATTGCCACATACACTGGGTATGACGACACACAACTGTAATTCCAGCATTTAGGACGCTGAGGCAGGAGGATCACCCCGACTTTGAGGCCAGCCTAGACTACATAGTGAGTTTAGGGTCAGCCTGAACTATATAGCCAAATGCTGTCTTAAAAAAATAATCAAAACAAAACAAACAAACGACAAAACAGGACATGCAATAGGAATGGGTTATAATCACTTCAACTTCTACCACCTACAATTTCCACCAACTTTTCTTCCAAATACTAAACAGAGCGAAACCAATCACAAATATTATCGCTGTTATCTAAACTTCTTATCATGAAGTCTCATAACTATACTGCTCAGGGAACAGAGGGTTCCAACCAGTATTTATCTGAACATTCTGAAAACCCTGAAATACACTGGTACATCTTCTCTCCCTGGGACACACACAGCTTTCTGGTGCTTCTGAAGGGCTGTTCATTCTGAGCCTTTGCTCTTTTTGCCCAAGCCCGATGCTGAGAAGCCTTCTGTTCTGTTGTGACCTCCTCTGATGGAAGGTTTCTAGTCTGTTTTTTGTTGTATGGAGACTTCGTGCTTGACAGAGCCAAGTTTATTTCAACAGAAAGCAGATGCCCAATTATAATTTATATTCCAACGCTCATTGATTTCTAAGTTGTCTGGAACTTGAAATACCTCTCTCCAGCCAAAAGAAAACACGTTTCTAAATATAATTAAGCTCTCCCTGGTCAATTCAAAAGGTCTGTAACACTGATGAAATACATTTGCTAATTTTTAAAATTGCACAAAGATTTTACAGTGATATTCATAAGGCTTAGAAACAAAAATGAACATCAAACTACTTTCCTTTACCTTAATTACAGACACCTGAGAAGGCTGGGCAGTGAGTTCATGGCCAGCCTTAACTATGCAGGGCAACCGCATTTCAAAGAAAGAGAGAGAGAGAGAGAGAGAGAGAGAGAGAGAGAGAGAGAGAGAGAGAGAGATAAACTCGAAATCTAACTAAGGGAACAGAGTATAAGAGAAAGAAAAGGAAGTTAAGCAAATTGATCTTCATACCCAAATCTCACAAACAAGCCCCCTTTGAGCACTCTGTGGTGGCCCCACGCTGTTCAAGGATCTCCACCCATGCACAAAGCCTGAGCAGATATGCAGAAGGGGCTTCCAAAGTAAACACACCAAAAAGTCATACTTTACAATGGGGAAAACATACTGTATTATAGGTGACAGTCCCTTTAAAACTATGCCAAGGAGGGCTGGGGAGATGGCTCAGTAGAATAAGTGCTTTCCTGGCAAGTGCAAGGGCCTGAGTTCAATCCCTGTTTCTGCCACACAAAAAAAAAGAAAAGAAAAAAAGAAAGAAAGAAATTTTGGGGACTACCCTCTTGGGCCCCCCTCCTGTCTCTGTTTTG